ACATGTTCAATACGTGTTCTATTATGCTGGGCGTCTGTTCGACACTGGTAGGTGCTGCCTCTGCATGGAGTCTTCATGCTTCATAGTCCAATAATGTGGTCATACTCCATGGAAAAATTCCAGTATACTACTTATGTTGCATTTTTCAATAGCTTTATGGACTGTGACCATTCTTGTATCCAGATGTTTTCTCCTATTATTACTGATTATTCTTGGCTTAAAACACAAAGTAACTTATGATTGAAACATTTTGAAAATGGAAGTCAGATTCTGACAATTAAAATCTAGCTAATGAATATTTGGCATGCCTGGCTCTAACTGATTTTTGACACAGTTGAATTATTTGTTCGAGATTGTGATATAACGGGTTAGTCTGTTGTAGGTAGGGGTGTAAACGAGCCGAGTCGAGCTCGAGTATTGCTGAGCTCGACTCGACTCGAAAACTCGCGAGCTTAAAATTTTTAAGCTCGACTCGAACTCGAAATCTTGAACTGAAGCTCGTGAGCAGCTCGAAAAGGCTCGAAATGAAAAAAAAATCTTAAACTTAACAAGATTGAATCCTCAAATTCAAACTCGAACCTGAACCTTAAATTCATGAAAGCCTTATTGTATTTTTTTTAAAAAAATCAACACATAAATGTTAATATTATTAATAATTTATTTTTAAAAAAATAAAATCTTAATATATTATATTTTCGAGTTACTCACGAGCTTTTCGAGTCGAGTATCTAGTAGCTCGTTTCGGCTCGTTAAGAATTCGAGTCGAGATCGAGTTCAAGTCGAGTCCATTCGATCCGAGTATTTATCGAGCCTTGACCGAGTCGATCTCGAGTAGCTCTCGATCTGTCTCGTCTCATTTACAGCCCTAGTTGTAGGGTGGTTATGTGAAGCCAATTTACTCACATGGTTTGTTCTATCTAGCATCTTGAGTTGAACTGTGCCAGCTTCCAGGACCTAATTTCAGTTCCTTTTGATCGTATAGAAAAATCGCAGACAAGGTCGCAGCAGCTGGATTCTATGCAGTGGTTCCTGATTTCTTTTACGGAGAACCCTTTAATCCTAATAACACCGGTAGACCTAAAGATGCTTGGCTAAAGGATCATTCACCAATCACCGGTTAGTGGTCTTTTTTACCAACAGAATATCCAATGCTGAATGATGCATCACTTTTGAAGTTCTATGCCTTTATGCATCTAATTGCTCAATTAGGAAAAAGGCTTTAAGGATGCAAAGCTGATGGTTCAAGCTTTGAAAAGTAAAGGTGTTTCGAAAATCGGAGCTGCTGGATTCTGTTGGGGTGGTGAGTCTTCATAGCAGATATCATCTTTTTCGTTTAGTTCTGCAATCAGTTTACTACTAGATGGCTAATACCAAGTCTTTGGATTACCTCAGCCAAAGCTGTGATTGAACTAGCAAAGATTACCGATGTCCAAGCAGCTGCGATCTTACATCCTTCATTTGTGACTGTGGATGATATCAAGGGTAAGATTCAGGGTTTATATATATTGGCTATGATTTGTTCGACTTTGCAATCGCTAACGTAGACAAGTGGTCTTTGTAGCTTTTTAGGTTCTAGGACAATGTTTCACAGAAAATGAACACATCAAGCTAAATGCACCTTTTTCTTCCTTTCTGTGATTATACATATGAACTTGTATAGTAAAAAGTTGCATTTGATTATGTGCGAATTTTCGCAGGTGTGAAGGTTCCCCTTGCAATATTTTCAGCTGAGCTAGACAAGCAATACCCTCCTAAACTGTTAAAAGAGTTCGATGAGATCTTACAATCGAATAAGGTGTGTGGTTTCATACCGTATTTTTGTTAATATTTATCGAAAGACGTACTGATAAAATTATTCCCTAATGTTTGCACAAATGGTCACTTTTGCCCTTATTTTTTTAAGCATTTTAGTCCCCATCATTTTAAATTTTGGCGAAAATAATCCCTGTCAGAAGGAAATCATTAGTTAATTAACGGTCAACACATATTGTTGACGTAGCATTTTCAAATGTGCTTAATTGTTGGCATGATACTTTAGGTGACGTGACACATTATATATCAACAATCAAGTACATATGAAAATATCACGTCAGCAAACATGTATTACTGTTAATTAACGGTTTTCATCCAACATAAGTTATTTTGACAAAAAATTAATACGTTGACTGCTAAATGCTTTAAAAATAAAATGGAACAGAGATTATTTTTATAAAAGTTGGAGAGTAATTTTGCCATTATTCCTTATCGAAATTAGTAAACATTGCTCTGTAGATTAAAATAGATGTCTTTGTACTGAAAAAATCGATGTTGGGTTTCTTGTTTGCTCCATTAGGTTGCCTATCTTATTCTTATTTTTGCCAGGCTTCTATTGAGACGGTGTTAAAACTCGTACAATGCTAATCTATTTCATTCGCGACGTTAGTATTCGAATTCATGATATTATTGAGGGATTCCAACGTCTCATTCGCGACGTTAATATTCGAATTCATGATATTATTAAGGGATCCCAACGTCTCATTCCACTATATTAACTTTTTTTTTATTGTGACTTATATACCATATTAGACTCTTCACCTCACGATCTACTTTTTCAGAAGGGAGATTCCGTTTTGCTCCCTTCAGATCCACAGCGAAACCGCTCTTTCCTGAATGTCAAATTATGTTGTGTATGGAACATACTCACTTTTTCTTTGTTACAAAACAACGTCTTTCCCTTGCAGGTGGATAGACGTGTGAAGATGTTTCCTAAATGTTCCCATGGATGGACGCTCCGATACAATGCCAGCGATCCGGCAGCCGTGTCACGGGCCAACGAAGCTCATAAAGAAATGCTGAATTGGTTCACCAAGCACATTAAGTGAGAAACTTGTGTGATGATGACGGAGTTCACGTCTCTGATCTAGAATTATGTTTACGATGTAGTCGTGTTTCCGTAGAATAAGTGAGGGTTCTAATGCATCATGACGGAACTCTATTTTCATCCTATTGATCCTTGACGACGGGGACTCGGGTTTTTCTTGTATTACAAGTAATAAAGTTGAAATTGAAATATACATGAAACCCTTCTCAGAAGAACTGAAATTACCTTGATGAACAATTTATTGTAGCTCCCGTAGGGGGGCTTAGACAATGAAGAACCCAATTAGCATGCCTTTTTCTTGTTGCACAAGAAAATGAGTAGCGGTATTAACTAGTATGGGTGTGGGACTTGGGCCTAGACTTGATAGGTTAAATCCGATGGGTTTCGACTTAACTTGACTCGATTGAATCAATTTTTTTTAAAAGAAATTTGGATTTGGGTCAGATTTAAAAAAAATCTCTTATTTCAGCAGAAGAAGTTCGACTTAGATTTACGAATAATATATAATTTATTTTAGATTATTTTACGTGTTTAGTATTTAAATTATTAATTTTAGTCCATTTCAATATGTAAATTTTCAATTTAAAAAAAAACATACTTAAAGTTTAGCTTTTTGTTTCATTTTAGTATCCCACCGGCCACCGCTAAAAACTTTAGTTTTTGTTTCATTTCAGTGCATCGTTCAAAATTTAACGTTAAGTTTAGAAAAAGCTAAAAGTTTATTTACTAAAATGGATCAAAACCGATAGTTTAGGTATTAAATACATAGTATACATTTTATTTTAAATAATTTTTCTCTCAAGACTCTGATGTGACGAGAAATATTGGAAATCACCGTCGCATTCAAATGCATGCACAAACTTAAACCTTTCTGATGGTAGAATTGTCTTGAAAAACAAAAGCAATAACTCCAGCTTTCCTCTCCAACTGCACTCATTCCCGTCCCAGTGCTAATAAAGACACTGTAAAGATTTGTTAATCACTTTTTCTAACGTAAAAGTAATGTTTTTCTAGTTTGTTGGTTTGAATCAATAATCACTTTTTGAAGGTGAATTTTTAGCTGAAAATAAATCGTATAGAAATGTTTTTAAAATTTTAAACGGAATTTTAGACCAAAAGCACTTCTATAAGTATTTCCAAACGGTAATCAACGGGAAAATATAAATTTAGGGGTGCAAAAAGATTACTAACAGAAAATATAAAAAAGATCTAAAACATATAAGAATTTAAAATTTTCTCTTTCGATCGCTGGTTTCATTCATTATATGATCAATTTAGAATTTTCGGAGATAAATAAGATTAAGGGCACATAAAACCACATTAACTTTAAAATTTCCAAATCAAAATATAGTGGTAAAAATGCATCAGAGGTCTATGTATTTTGAAAAAAAACTAATGTGGTACTCGTATTATTTTTCTCTCGATATGATCTTTTAACTCGGAAAACAAACCTAATGTGACCTTTTGACCAACGCTTTTCGTCATTGACCGTTATAGTAATGACGTGTCAGTTTACAGTGCTGACGTGACAGTTCACGGTGCTGACGGGACAATCCATAAGATATGTTTAAGTTATCAATTTAGCCAATTTACCATGTTCTCAATGCTACCATGTCAACACCATGAACTATCACATCAGCACTGTAACAGTCTAAGACAAAAAAAAGTTAGTTAAAGAGTCTCGTTAAGTTTATTTTCTAAATTGAATGGTCACATTAGAAAAAAAAAAATGAGAACACATTATTTTTTTTCAAAAATACAAAAACCTCTTATTCTTTTGCCAAATGTAATTTTATTATTTTTTATTAAATTTTGGTGCACCGAACAGAGAATTCATTAGGGGTATACACTGGTCACAACACAAGGGAATTTGGCAGCAATTGCATGACACAACATAAGACCACCTTAAATTTCCCTCTTCTTCTAACCCAACTCTGTAATGTGGTGTCAAGGTCGATAAACTTTCCTTTCTCGAGATCGTGACAGTAATTTTTGTACAAACCGCCATTATTACACACAACTGTCCCCCATTTTTTTTCTTCTTCAAGTTCCTATATATATATATGAAGCAAACTCCATGCAAAGCTAGCCAGCTAAACTCAAGTAAGAAAAGACAGGGAAGGAGAGAGACCAGACAGAGATGGGCTGCTTTTGTGCTTTGTCTTTCGTTCTTGTTTTGCTAACTCTGCATGCATGTCATGCACGTAACGTGCCGAAGGAACATGCAATGCAAGCCGATGCACTGACGGAGGATTCAGCCAAGGGTAATGGCGTTAATGACGGAAAGAATGTTGTTTACGGAGGTGGAGTTGGTGGGTTTGCTGGGATGGGGGGCGCTGCTGGGGTGACGGGGGGTCTCGGTGGGATCGGGAAAGTTGGTGGCGTTGGCGGTGCTGCTGGATTAGGTGGTTATAAATGCATCGGCGGATTAGGCGGTTTGGGCGGCGGAGTTGGAGGTGTAGGTGGTTTAGGAGGCGGGGTTGGTGGTCTAGGCGGCTTAGGCGGCGGAGTTGGCGGTTTAGGAGGCGGAACTGGCGGAGGAGTTGGGGGAGTAGGTGGTCTAGGCGGCCGAACTGGTGGCGGAGTTGGGGGTCTAGATGGTGGTGGTTGTCCCGGAACAGGCGGTTTAGGCGGCGGTGGTTGTCCCGGAACAGGCGGTTTAAGTAAAGCAGAAGGTGTAGATGGACATGGGAATGGTGGTTCAACAAGCAATACCATAAAGCCATCTCCTTGATAATTTGCATGCATGCTTAGTAGAATGTTTCAAGTGTAATGTCCAAATTTCAGGCCACTTTCTGTTTCCTTAAATTTCAGCCATCTAGTTTAGGTCTTCTCTGCTGCTGTTGCTTTCTGTTGCAATGTTGATTCTAGTTTCTTAATGTTAGATCTTTTCCGAGTTCGAGTTCTAAATAAAATTATAAAATTTTCGAGGGTACGAAATAAAAATTTATTTTAAAAAAGTGTAAACTAAATAATTAATGTTTAGAATTAGCTAATGATTCATATCTGCACAATGGTGTAACAATGTTGTATGTTGTATTTGACTGGATAAATGAACCAAGTCTCAGTATGATGCTTTCTTAGTGGAAATATGTAAATGGGAAAATAATAAGGAAGATCAGCAGTCAAAAGAAAAAAAAAATCATCTCGGTATCGGATTACTCACTTTCGTGCGGAGGAGACGTCGCGGAGTTGTCTTCGTGTCCCCTGGATTTCGACATAGAGGGCCGATCGGTAGGGGACATGCTAGTGCATCTCAAAGCAATTTTCAGGACAGTAATCATGTGATGGACGACGCTTTTATCGTTAAGGTTTAAGCAATCATCTAGTATCCCGGCGTCAAACGAGTGGTCGCGGACGTAATGTTGCACCCGTGTGTTAAGATCGCCTCCTCGATCCAATGGCTGTACCGGAGTCTTTCCGGTTAACAACTCCAGTAGAACATCCCCGTAGTTATAGATGTCGCATTTTTCGGTTACCTTCATACAGTATATGCATACTCTGTGACATAAACAACGGGTGTTGTGAATAATTTAAAACATCTTCACATATGGTTTCGACTATTTGTACTCGAAGGTCGAAGAACTAACCGGGTGCGATATAGCCGTATGATCCGGCGATTGCCGACATGGACTTAGACTGGGGCATGTCGATCACTTTTGCCAAACCGAGATCACCGACGTGAGCTTCGAATTTTTCGTCGAGCAAGATGTTATTGGACTTGATATCACGGTGAACGATCTTCGGTTTACAGTCGTGATGTAGATAAGAAAGACCTTCAGCAGCTTCGAGGGCGATCATGAACCTAGTCGACCATTTTAAGCTACAGGAGCTGCCATGAAGCATTTCGCCCGAGCTACCTTTTTCCATGTACTCGGAAAGAAGCAGATTGGAACCTTGGTGGTAACAGAAACCGTAAAGCTTCACAATATTCCAATGCCGAATCTTTCCTAGTGTTAGAATCTCGGCCCGAAAACTGTCCTCGATGTTGTCTCCCTCGGCATTCGATGCGAGCCTTTTAACAGCAATGGTTTGTCCGGAATTCATAACGGCTTTATAAACCGTTCCACAAGCTCCACTTCCAACAACATAACTCTCGTCAAAGTAGTTTGTCGCCTCGATCAGATCTTGAAAAGTAAACCCTTCCTTGGGATGGAAGTAAATATCTGAAACCGGAGACGATCATACTACTTTTTCTGGCAACGATGCAACGATTTCAGGTGGACGTCTGATTTGGCATATAAGCATTTATCAGTTAGCTATAACCCGAGGAATCCTTCCGGAAAGCAAATTCGATGAGACATTAAAAGTCACAAGTTGAGTCAGAACTAAATTGATTCTCTGCAATATGAAGCCTCTGAAGCTTTCCACAGTTTCCGATCTCCGAAGGAAATGGTCCGGTGAAGTTGTTCTGGCCCAATTCGATAGCCGAGAGATTCACCAAATTGCATAATTCAGAAGGAAAGGTACTATTGAGCCGGTTTCCGGCCAGACGAAGTTGCACTAATGTCTTGCAGTTCTTAATCCCAGTCGGAATATCTCCATGCAGATTATTAGCTCCGAGGTTTAATAAAATAAGGTTAGAACGTTGACAAAAATAAAGCTGTATTCTTCCAGTCAGACGGTTGTCTGAAAAATCGACCACCCAAATCTGGCTGTGAACTCCAAGCTGCTGAGGAATGTTACCAGCAAGAAAACTGTCGAAAAGCTTCAACTGACTCATTTGAGTCAGATATTGGAAACCATAAGGAATGGGACCTTTGAGGTAATTGATCGAAAGGTCGAGCTTCTGATAATTGATTCTCCCATAAAATCAAATCAGTCATGCTTCTGAGCATCCATAGGTAGCTCTCCTCCAATACTATTTTGGGCAAGACCAAGCATTCGTAAGCTTTGACAACCACTTATTTCGGCAGGGATGCTACCGGAAAACGCATTCTGCCCTCAGATTCCCGCTAGAGCGAGGCAATGGCCCGGTCAAGTTATTTGTATATGCAACGAACTCATCAAGGGAGAGCAAATTCCTAAACTCCTCTGGAAGGGTACCGCAGATTTCGTTATTTCATATATTCAAACTTGTTAAGAAAGACAGCTTGCCGACTTCACCGGATCAGACCACTTAAATGATTATTATTTAAGTACAGATATACAAGAGGCGAACAATTCCCGATCTCCTTGTGAATATTTCCACTAAACTTACTGTACGACAGATCAAGATATCTCAGATGCATCAAACCACCAATCCTCCGGCTCAGGGTTCCGGAAAGGTTCATCGGACTCAAATCAACAGCGATTGTTATAAATGTCTTAATTAGTAATTTATTTGGTAACTAATTTAAACTATAAATTTTAGAAAAATATGAATAGATGATTTATTTTAATCGGTTGTTATAAATAAATTATTTTAGGGTAAAGTACACAAATGGTCCCCGAGTATATGGTACTGTCTTATTATGTCCTTCGACTATTAAAAGTTACAAAATAGTCGTCCGACTATTCATTATGTTACAAACTCGTCCTTTTTGGTTAAAAAATTGAAGGTCGCCTAAGTTGAATATTAAAATGATAACTGAAATATAATAGTTTTTTGAGATTTTATGATCATATTTTATTATATCACAACCAATATTTTAACATTTAACTCATAATTTCGTAATTTTTTTAACGAAAAAGGATGAGTTTGGAATATAATGAATAGTCGGGTGACCATTTTGTAACTTTTAATATTTGAGGGACTCAACAAAGCAACACTCTATAGTCAAAGGACCATTTTATAACTTCTAATAGTCTAGGGACATAATAAAATAATATCATATAATCAAGGGACCATTTATATACTTTATCCATTTTTTTATTATTAAAAATAATTTAATTTATTTATAGTAATAATTAAATTACTCAAAATATTGATTGTTACTATCACATCACTTAAATTATAATTAAAAAGTAAATCTCGTTAAAAGAATTAACGACAAAATAAAATATACAATATTTTTAATAGTACGAGCTTCTAGGGTAATCATAAGGTAATATCTGTTTAGAATTTTTTTTAACCCTCGATAATTTACATACATCCTACAAATGCAATCATTCGAACCCAGAATTTCTAGAGAGAATTAATAACACTCACTTTAATAACCGAGACAACTTAATGGATAAAAATATAATAATTTTATAATTTGATTTAGTAATTAAATATTTTATCTTCTTGCAATGGTCTTGGTCTAATCTAGCTCAATTGATTTTGACATAATTTTAAGGTGGTGATATAATATAATTTAGATATAAGTTTTGGTAAAACAAAACAAAACTTTATCTAGCTTAGGGGTTGGGCACTAACCTATATAGAAGAGGTCCAAGGCTTGATCCCCTATTTGGTACATGATTTTTTTTTATAAAAAATACTAACAGAGGTGGTCGGAAAACTCAACCGACGTCGAAATCAGTCCAAAAGACCCCTAAAACTAAGATTGAAATCACCTAAAGACTCCCTAACGCTGCTTAAAACCATCTTGACTCCTCATCTTTTTGAACTCTGGTGACCTTACGGTGGCGACGGTTTCCAATTTCGACCTAGAAAAACTACCCATCTCACTCTAAACTCCAAAACCAAACCCACCTTTTAACATGTAAGCCTAAATATCGCTATAGCCCTCTATTTTTTTCCTCTCCGACAACCTGAATTCTGACGATGGAATCCCAAACGAAAGGTGAACTCACTCGTCCCCTCCCTTTTCCCTTCTTTATCTTTTCTATCTACGCTTCGAAATACGCATGCATACACACAAGAAAGAGAAAGATAAAAATTGGTATAGAAAATAACTACCTAAGAAAGGCTCTTTTTTGCTTTCGATTTGATTTATTTTTTTACCTCTAAATTACATTTGAGATTCGTTGGGGGTTTTATAGCCGCTTACATAGGTCCGAAAACTACAAAAAGTGTGTAAAAAATGCTGTTTTTTCTCTGATTTTCTCTCTTTTTTTCACTGTCTTTGCATGCCTGTGAGAGGAGAATGGAAGGAAGGACCTTTCAACGTCAGATTCATCTCTCCTGGCTCGAGTCAAGGGCTCCCTTTCAATCTCTTGTCCTTCTATCGTTTTTGTGCGAGGGGAGGCCTCTGCCACTGTCACTGTTGTGGCAGAGGAGACATGGCAGAGGCACACTAACGAATTGCTTATTCGTACAAATGAAGTGGTTTTCGGAGATTACGAGAGGGAAGTGTGGGGATCGAATTCGAAAGATGGAGGTCAAAGAAGTCACGATCGACGCGACAAAAGCTCTGAAGATCGCTCGAGCATCACACGCGAAGTCAGAGTGTCCGTTGATCTCCCACTGAGAATCATTGACTGGATCTAACAGCAGTGGATCAAAGCAGCGACGCATAGCTCTTTAGGGTGAAAACCCTAATCTTTGTTGCATCTGGACCGTTGGACCTAAAAATATTCAACCGTGGTGGTGGTCAAGCAATTGCGCAGGTGCTTCACTAGGATTATGAAAAAAAACCCTAAACCAGTTTTGATTTGGACCATCAGATGAATATCAGATTGTGTAGACTAAATCGTGGTGGTCACTTAACAGTGATTTTTAGCGGTAATTGATGTCGAACATCTAAAAATATAACAAAAAAAACGTTAAATATCTATTTTTTAAAAAAAATCTTCATATATTAAAATATTTTTCGATACATAATTATGATACTTATTTCTATATTAAACATTATTTATATTACTCTTTAGTTGCCATACTGTATTCACCATTTGGGATGGGAGCAGGAGAATTTTACTGTAACCGAGATACGGAGTCCTAAATTTACCAAAGCAAGCTTTGTCATGTCAGGCGGAACGACGTCGTTTGAAGGCTATAACAATTACAAGCCTCTCATTTTATCTAACACAAACACAAGTGGCATCCAAAGACAGCTTTCGACCAGGCGACAACCGCATCTCTCTCTCTCTCTTCAATCTCTTAACATCAAACTCTTCTTGTTCTCTTCAGATTCTTCAAGAAGCTAAAAAAAATCCAATAAAATCTCCTTTACTTCATTGTATTCAACAATTGGAGCAAAGAAGTGAAATGAACTGATAAAAGTTAAAAAAAAATCTAAGTGTTTTTAGCTATCGAAAGATGCAAAATTTGGTCATTCATCACAGACCACCAGTGATTTCAAGAGGGAAACATCCCTTGTTGGTTCTTGTGGATTCATTTCCATCTTTTCACAGCGTTTCAAGAGCACCCACTTCTCCTTCATGTGAGTTCTCCTCTCCATTCTTTTATTTTTCTCTTCTTTTTTTGAGGTAAATTTTACATCTTGTGTGATGAGATTCATGAAAGGATTGAATTTTATTGCAGTAAGAACGTTTTGGGTGGATTTTCTTTTATGAACTGAGTTGAATTTAGGCTGCCTTTTATTGAATCGTTTGGGGTTTGTGTGGTCTTTGTGTTTTACTGAATAGAATGCATTGAGTTTCATGTACTTATCAAACACCTGAGTTACTTGAGGTTTCGGGTTTGGGCTCTGGGAATGTCAGGTGTGAGAAGGAGCAATGTCAAATAGTTTAGAGTTATCAACTGATATTACCTCCTACTTACCCTATATTAATAATAAAAAAAAGACTGTTATCCTACAAACCTGGGGTTTAGGTTAGCCTCTTCGTGCAGTCGCCCTTAACAGGTGGTATTAGACGAGTCCCTAAACACGGGTTCGATCTTAACATCTACGACCCTTCTATCTCATTTCGTGGTCTCCTTGAAGAAGATTATGACCCTACTTATATGCTATAGTTTTATTGCATCGAACTCGGAATGCTCTTAGCAGTTTCCTTTACATAATTTTACGTCAGCCTAACCATATCCTGTTTATCAGCTTGTTCTATATAGTTTGAATTGCTGTTTACTTTTACTAAGCCTAGAAATGTTGGTTTTTCTTCTTTGTATGATGCATTAAATGGCTGTACTTGTTGTGAACGGTTCGAATTTATGCCCATATGCAGTACTGATTCTATTCCAGGTTTTTTAGACACATGATCATTAGTTAACTTGTTGTGTAGCTCTTTTTCTAGTGCAATGTAGAAAAATATCGAGATTGAGTTCAACGTGCAGCGCATTCAGAACACGAGCATCCAATGTGGGTTTTGGATCTGGGGGCTATGAAGAGAGGAAGGAAAATGAGGACCATAAAAGTATTGCAAAGGTCCCGGGGAGTGACAGTTCATCAGAAGCGTAAGTGATGTTCAATTAACAAAGACGCTTGATTCACATTCATCGAGTTAAAAAGAACGTATTGATTCTGAGTTAAAAAGATGATCTTAGACTTCTTCTAGCAACATATTTACCTCGCGGTGCTTGTAAGTTTATGATGAATTGAGGTTCTAGTTTGATGTCTTATATATTGTCTTAGTCTATGCTTTTTTTGATTGCATAGCTTGCTCTTAGCCTTTCCCAATGTAAATATCTTTGATTATTTTGCAGGGTGAAGCCTTTGAGTCAAATTCCTTACCCTCTCTCCATTGCTTTTGTGCTATTGGGGTGTACTTTAGTGTTATCACTAATTGCCTTCGCAAAAGGTGGACCTTCATCTCTCTTAGCAGCAATAGCGAAGTCGGGATTCACTGCTGCCTTCACATTAATCTTTGTTTCCGAAATTGGAGACAAGGTAACTTCGCTTATTCTAGATCCTTATTCTCTTTGATTCAAACCGTCATCAAATATGTCTTCACCTACCTCTTTTGATAGTTCTTCCCTCTTTCTTTATCGAGGATTTGGTAAGTTCTTCCGTTGGTGAGTTTATCGTGATAATTCTTCCCTTTTTCAAGCCTTATGGCTCTCAGGCTTGAACTAGTAGATAACCTTAGTAAGAAGAAAACGGTTAACCGTGAATAACCTAGAAAGCACATTTCACCGGCATCAAAGATTACTAAAATTTGAACGTCCATTCAAATTTCATGTGTTTTCCATATAAGCTGAGCGCACCAGTGCTATGATCTAAGCTATATTTGTCATCCAATGTTTCAAAACATTCTGAGGATTATCATAACTGATGATTGGTGCGGAAAGTTCATGTTGCAAATATTCATTTCTTAAGCTTTTGATTGTGCCTTTAGAAACCTTACGTGAGGTCTAAGCTATATTTGTCATCTCTTGACCAGACGTTTTTTATTGCCGCACTATTGGCTATGCAATACGAGAAAGGACTGGTATGTTCTCTCCTAGCTTCTCATCTCTATGTGCCTTCATTATGTACTTGCTCTTTATTTTAGTTATTGTAGTTTTGAAATGATTACTTCTATTTTCTCGGACTAAATATATTTTCTTAACATTTATTAAATTATTGGAAAGGTTCTGTTGGGGTCAATGGGTGCTCTTTCTCTTATGACAGTCTTGTCTGTAATAATTGGACGGATCTTTCAGTCGGTCCCTGCTCAATTTCAAACCAGTAAGTTCCTACTCCTTGTATCTACCTTGTGTTGTCAAATGATTTTCTAATGAGATTTTCTGTTTTCGATGATTTAAGAAGCACGACTATGAGCATACATGCCAACTGTTTAGCTATTAGCATATAGTGAGATAGTTTTACCAATTATGTTATTCGAACTCAAGCATGTTTGTCGGATTCCAGTATGTGTTTCTAATGCAATGTTTCTCCATATATTTGGGTGGTCCGTGGGGAGTTATGTTCCCGTACCTTTGTCCAAATATGCATCCGGACATACGTAATTCAAGTGAATGAAGAATTAGAGAAACATACACCCATACCTGTGATATTCATGATATTTTTTTGTAATTAATTAAGGCCTATCCTTTATTATGGTATTTTTAATGTGAAGTTTCTGATAAACACAATATGCTTTGGTTTATTCTGTAGCCTTGCCAATCGGAGAATATGCAGCGATAGCTCTTCTTGTGTTCTTCGGTTTAAAGTCCATAAAAGATGCATGGAACCTTCCGCCAGCAGTGGCAAAGAAAGGTGCCGAGAGAGGCCCTGAACTTGATGAGTTTGCGGAAGCTGAGGAACTTGTGAAAGAACAGGTAATCGGTTGGTTCGACATGTCTTATTTCATTAAAAGAAAAGGAGAGAAAAAGTTAATAGAGACTTGATTGTAATGTATTCAGGCATCAAAAAAGCTCACAAATCCACTTGAAATTCTCTGGAAGTCGTTCAGCCTTGTATTCTTCGCCGTAAGCATCTCGTTATCCTTTTTAAAAGCAACATTATTATCTATCTCCGAAACAAACGGCTTCTTTGTAGTAGTTTTCAATAATTCTCAATGTAAAACACTGCAATTGCTCCTAGGAATGGGGAGATCGTTCAATGCTTGCTACTATCGCACTAGGCGCTGCGCAGGTGCGACTTTGCTTACTCCTTTTCTCATTATGTACATACATGAATTTGTATATTTCTAATTCGCAATAGTTCAACGATTGTTGCTACCTTGTCTCTACAGTCACCATGGGGTGTGGCAAGTGGAGCCATTGCAGGACACCTACTTGCAACATCGATTGCAATCGTGGGAGGAGCACTTCTTGCCAACTATATTTCTGAGAAACTGGTATGGTCGGAAATCTTTATCGTTTTCTAGCACCGCTAGTAGTATGATATATTCAGATACCTGCTTTTCAACTTAATATGATGCAATCGCCATATGTTCGATCAGGTTGGTTATTTGGGGGGAGTGCTCTTTCTCGTTTTTGCGGTGGCAACATTTTTTGGGGTTTTCTAATTGATTATACGAAGCGTATAGAGAAACTCGGGCTAGTTTCCGGCACAATCGATGCAATACAATGCAACTGCTGGACATGAAATTTATCATTGCAGAAAACGATGAGGGGGAAATGTGTTGCAGTGGGGTTATTAAGAGGCTGCCATCTTAGTTCTTTGAAGCATCCTTGGAACAATTGGGGGAAAAGGGTTTATTATTAGATTTTTGTGTAGTTTTTAGATAATATTGGAGCCATAATTGACAAATTTTTGCTACACTCAACATGTTTAATAAGACTGCAGTTATATTGCAATCTCTTCTCTTTTCGATGATATTCGATGAGGAATTAATCTCTTTTTCTTCTCGATCAATATAAAATGACATTTACTATTTTATAGTCACCTTAGCAAATATATATATATATATATATATATATATAGAAAAGTAAGAAAAGAGTGCTAAATGCTTTAAATTCTCAAAAATCAGAACTAAATCATACAGTGGAACCCCCATCATGTTAAGCATAAACACTACATACTGAGCTGACAAACAAATGAATTTTAATCTACTTTACAACAACCACGGTACAACTGCATGCATGAAAAAGGATTAGTACCCTTTGCTTCCCCAAATTTCATGAATCTCCATGTTAACTGATCCATTAGATCATTCATCTACACATTGCTTGGATCGATACCCGTCATCTGATAGTAGTTCGACGATACGTTTTTCGAGCCTTCTTGCTCCTGGACCAGGCCTCAAGATATCAGCATCCCCCCAAACTGAACATGTGTCGTTGCCCTCGCCTAAGCACCATCCACCCGGTACAACTCCGCCAGGGCTGCGTTTCAGAATTTCTTGATCGATACGGTCAAGTACAGGACTGTTAAATTGGAACTGTGTTGCAAATGCAGCTCCGCTCTGAACCATGGCATCAAACTCTTCAGGCTTCATAGGGGGAAGCTTCTTTGAAAAGGTTTTGTTGAAGGCTACATACTGTAGGTCATGGTTAATCACAGTGTTCTTGAACTGATCGGAGTTACAAAGGATGGTAGGGAAATAATTGGTGAAGGAATAAGGCATATTGGCAAAATACATTAGCAAAGTCCTCGGAAGATTGTCGGTACCAACGATGCAGAACTCGACGAAATTACGAGTTAACATCGTAAATGATGAACCTGCAAAAGACCAGATCCCTAGTTTTATTTCACAAATTCCTTTGACAGTGTGCTTGGCAGTTGGCAATTCAGGAAGAAAATTTTCTCAGCAAAACAAATGACTCATAATATCTTGCATGATATTCAAGGAAAATGATCCTCAGAGAGCTAATTGGCCAATAAAAAGTGACCGATTGGCATGATGGAAACTCACTCACTCTTGGCAATTGGCATAATGAAGAAAGTGCAATTAAATTCATATAAGAATAGGCAGGTTCTGAACACACGCTGCTGTTTCCTCTCTTTTTTCTTTTCCTTTTTACATAAATGTTTTCAGTTGTATGCCGGATTGCCAACTGCAGTGCCAAATAATGCTCTTCAGCTTGCACGAAGAACGAAAACAACTAGCTTACACTAGATGAATAGATGTTTGTTACATCTCTTCCAAGCCTATAATTAGATCAATGATTACAAGACTAGATGCAGAAGTAGAAGTCGGTTTCACGCTGATTGGTTCGACCTAACAGAGATACATGCTCTAGATATGACATTCTTGTAGCACTCAATGACTAATTCCATTGATAAATAGTACAATGATGACTGCATTAACCAAAACTATGCAAACTTATGGTCTCACACAAATATATAAACCTATATATTCAAATCAAATTCTTAATCACCCCTGCATTTACAGGTTCACCACTCTAAAAGTATGCTATCTTTGCATGCTGTTTATTGATATCCACAACTACAAAAATTAACAATGCATGCAATACACATATATTTCACATTCGCTCCCCATAGTTAGCAACATCGGTTTACCTTAAACACCATTAAAAGAACAGGAAGTAACCAAAAGCAAAAATTAAAATAAGTCAGATACAAACACATACCTGTAAACAACCTGAAAGCATTCGGCAATTCTCGCTTCTGAGTAGCATAAAATATCTCCTCCTTTTCCAAAAGATAAAGCCCCGTATCGACGATTATCGGCTTCAATCTCTTGGACCTTAATAAGTGAAACCCCAACAGAAAAAACACTAGTATCAGTCAACACTCATCGGTCATCACCTTAAACCACATCAATTCGATAACAACAAAAGGAAATTGTTTAAAAAAACACAGATGTAACTCGAAGTATAAATGTTGGAAATTCTTGTTGATTTTGCTATCAAGTTGCTGTAATAGGCAAAATCATAATTCGATTTTAAAAAATAAACAAAAGACTGAACTAAAACACCAATTTCTAACAAAGAACCACATTGCTTTTGCATCCAAATGTACAATTTGCAAAAGTAGTGAAACAAATATGAAGTTAACATACTCTTTCCAGCCGATATAACTAGTGTGATTCACAAAGTTGAGATCTTTCGGCAAGTAAGACAAAATGTGAAGAAGATCTACAAAATTCAATAGATACCCAGAAAGAAAATCAATCAGAAAACAAACCAAGAGACTGAATTCTAAAAAGAAAAGGCCAAAAAGAATAAATTTTCCATTACCATCTTGAGTAGCAAGCGGGTAATCACCGGCATTGAGAGAGATAAACCAATTCCAATTAGAAGCTAACCGTAGCAAAATGGAGGCACCGTGAAGAGTAGAAGAGATTGAGGATGGCCCTCTAGGGTATGCATAATCCGATTTCCCGATAACGTCGACGTTTCGAGCGGCTCTAAAAACGGGTACTGTTTGGATCGTTACGGCCAATCGATCACGCTCCGTCTGCGTAGCAGAGAGGTCAAGGTGAAGAAGGTAATGATTTCTCGGGTGATAGGTAACAAAGAGGAGCCGGAGGATCCGAGCCGAGTCGCCGGCTGAACCGGATATGAAGTAAGCAATGGAAGGAGGGGAGGGTGCGGAGGGGATCTCGGTTTTGGATATGGGTCGGTTCGGGAAGAGGGCCGGATCGGGTCTGTTTGAGATTAGGGCTCGGGAGGATGTGGCAGTGGAAGGAAGGGAGAGGATGAAGAGGAAGGAAAATAAGGCGGTGGCTAAGATTACGTAAAGAGTGGTTTTGGTGTTGTCTTTTGAGGCGGTAGTTGTCGCGGTGGCGTTGGAGATATAGCGGCGGAGTTTGGAGGTTGATGTTGTGCATTGTGGTGGTGGTGGCGGCGGCGGCGGAGGTTTTTGAATATGGCAGGTGTTTTCGGTTTGTTTTTATTTGGAGGGGTTAAATGGGTCAGATTATTTTCTTACCGGTTGTAATGGCCCTGTTTGGCTACATGCCCATTACTTTTAAGTATAGGCATGAATGAACAAAATACATGAATTCGATGATTTTCGATTCGATAAAATTGTCTATATAAAGAAGTAAAAAAATTTATTGGCCCATATAAGATTTCATTAGATTTATTTTTTGATCTAATATAAATGTTATACTATTCACCGAGAACACAATACATATTCGGGAAGATACGGTAATCATAATGCGTCTTTTGTTTTGCTCTAAAAATAATTTGGCATTAGTGTGAAAAATTTGAAAGAGTGAAGAAGACGTATTGTGTTTTCGGTATCTTTTCCGACACTTGTAACAATTACATCATCTTAAGAAATAATTTCGATAAAACTTTATTCGAGCCAATTCTTTTTCCAACGTCACATGCAATCAATTTTGCCACCTGATTCTACATTTTTCTTTTTGAAATTTTGAGTTTGAAGTAAGGTGAGATGAGTCATATAAAGTTGATTTCGGAGTGGGATGAGATTGAATTTAAGATGAAAAATTATCGATCTGTTTTGATATAAATTATTAATTTGTTTTTATATATAAATATGTTTAAAATTTTAAGTATTTATATTTTTATATTGTTAAAATATGTTATGTGATTATTAAAAGTATCATAAAATGTTATAAATATATATTATTTTTGATAATTTAATATATAATAAATAATTATAAAATATATTATTTTAATTATTTTAAAATATTAATATATTATTACTCAAAAGAAATATCAATATATTCGGATCGGGTCAGATCGAAATCAATGTTATAATCTAAAAATTAGGATGAATTTAGGACGGAAAAAAACTATCATCGGGATGAGCTAAAACCAGGTATAAATAATTTACTATTAGGTTGGAGCGGCCAAAACTTCGGTTCATCCCATCTCGTGCCCATCTCTAAGTATTGGCATAAAGAAAAAATAAATACCTCATACTATATCCTTTCTCTATTTCAGGTGTCTAAAAGTCATAATGATCATTAAAAAATTGTTATCTGACATCCAAATATTTTTTTAAAAATTTTTATTTAAAAAAATTTAAAATTATTATTCTCTGTTAAAAAATCATAGTTTTTCTAAAATTGGCCACCTATTATATTTCCTAGCACTGATTATAGGGTGTTGTTTTATTAAGTCTTTCGATTATTAGAAGTTATAAATGATATTCTGATTATAGAATGTTACTTTGTTAAGTCCCTTGACTATTAAAAGTTACTAAACGATCATCTGAATGTTCATTATGTTTTAAACTCGTCTTTTTTTATTGTTAAAAATTTGTCACTTGTCTAAGTTGGACGATAACATTATGATTGGGATGTAAGTTGGACGTCAACAGGTTAACGCTTAGTTCAAAATATCGTTATTTTTTTAACGAAAAATGACGAGTTTATAAACATAATTAATAGTCGAGTGATCATTTTATAACTTTAATAGCAAAGGATCTTAATAAAGCATTATCTTATAGTCGAAGGACAATTTGTGTACTTTATCTTAAATGAATTAATTGCCCAATACATCCATAATTCTCATTTTAAACTGGTCTCTAAATTTTAAATATTATAATTTCATCCTTAAACAATGACTTATTCTAAATTGTTCCTTAAACTTTTATACATTCCAAATTCATCCTGTAACTATGACCCTCGTTTCATATTTGTCCTCAAAATTTTGAATGTTTTAATTTCATCTTTGAACTTTTAAATAATTTAGTTAAATTTCATCCTTTAACATCCTCGAAGCCATAGAAAACAATATAAAGTTGTTTTTTTTTTTTGGGAAGCTATGAATTTAGTACCTAAACTATCAATTTTGATCCATTTTAATACCTAAACTTTTAATTTTTTTTCAAAACTTGATGTTAAATTTTAAACAATGAACTAATATGAAACAAAAACTAAATTTTAGGTACAATTTTGAAAACATTAAAAATTTAAGTACCAAAACGAACGAAATTGATAGTTTAGGTAAGCACAGTCACAGTCAAGGCAACATAAGCAAACTGTTAAATTCTAACGCTTAAGAAGCCAAATTTGTTCATCATAAATCCAATGCGCACCACAAACTCGGGGCTTCTTTTCTATACCTTATGTCTCGTAGTTCCGTCTCAGCATCGAGCGATTGCCTCCATCAAAATCCGATCCCAAAAACGAGAACCAAACAACCACAACGGGGGACTTCTTTATAACTTTCTCTATCAAACAATTGGCAATTTAGATTTTGCCAATCAACAAACTCATCTTGCTTCTATAAAAAAGAATGGGTTGCATAATCAACTCGAAATAGAAGGAACTCACGACCTCCCTCATAATCGCCAAAACAAGGGAAGGCACACCGGAACCACAGGCATATGCAAGTTTAGACATGTCTTTGCCGAGATTATGTAGATTTAGTATGAAAGCCGCTTGTTGGGTCTCCGTCTTGATGGGCCCCCGGGAAAGAGCTTCATGATCCATCCTAAAACCCTCTCCACCACCTACAAGGATATTAAAATGTTGTTAGAATTTAAATGTTTGAAACCCCTTGATGTTTCTGTTGTTCAATTTTCAGCAATGGTTGAATTAACTATTACATATATGGCGGGCTCAATCTTTCCCATAAGATGGTGTAAAACTCTTTAGTTTTATATTGATTTAGGGTCATTGAATGTGTAAAAGGATGGACGAGATTAAACTTTGTGCATTCACATTATCCAACTCTTTTTTCTACCCGTAAAGATCTCATTTTCAATTTCATTCATTTATATTCAGCCAATGATCCTAAATCAATGTAAAACTAAAGAGAGTTTTACATAGTATAACTGAATCCTACCTCATATATGTATATATATATATATAGAGAGAGAGAGAGAGAGAGAGAGAGAGAGTGGTACCTCATCACCCTCATCTGCATATGGAGTAACATCATGAATCATTCGAGGCTCATGTTGTCTAGCAGGGATATTCTCACTTGCCAGACTTTGAGCCGTCAGAAGCTCCAATCTTTGGGTTTGCAGTTCAAGTTTCCTGGACAACTCCTCGTTCAACTCCTTCATTCATCAATAAAAATTATAAGGTCAAAGGAAAATTATAAACAATCATTCATTTAGAAATAGAAACTATCGAACATTATTGAGCCCTTGAAAAAGTTTGGATAATCATGGATTGCTTGAAAGCAGTTCAAATGACCAAATTGAAGAAAATGGAAATACAGTCAGCAAGAAATGCTTACAAACACCATGCCTTTAATTAGCTACTTTAATTGAAAGATGTTCTTATATTCCACCTTCAAGTTTTTCAATCTTTCAGAAATTTTCTATAAATTCTAATACGATGCCTAGCAAAAGAACCGAATGAAACTAAATACAAATACTTGAAAATTTTGTCAATATGTCTAGTTCAGGTATGTTACCTTCAGCTTCGAACTTTGAGATAACTCCAATGACAAAGCGTGTATCAGTTCTTCCTTCTCCAATGTTAACTGCAACAAGCAAAAGGTTGGCCAATGATTATGACATAGCAGCCACCGACATCAACAACTTAATTTCTTCTAGATCAGATGAGTAAAACATATAAAAGCCACAAGAAAATCTGAATCATGTAAAATAATCTACCTCAGAAATTAGAGAATTAATGTTCTGAATCATTCTCATTTGATCAGGAGGAAAATAAACCGAAGAAGCTGCAAATCCCCCATCTTCAGATAGCAAACTCGATGTAGAGGCAATGTTACTGATATTCAGGTCCTTATCATCAGAAGTAGTGTCCGTTCTTGCTGCAAAAGAAAAATCAATTTTAAAACAAAGGGCTATAGATAATCAAAGCAACTTTAAAGGATCACCATAACTACTACAACTGCTATCAGACTTATCATAACAGCTTTGAAGTACTGGAGTTTGATGCATAGCTACGATTACATATTTGATTTTCCTTTCACGTAAATCAAAATCAAGTTCAAAAAAAATGTTAATATTTGTCTAGCACAAACTAAGTTTTCCTTGAGTTTTCTTATTTGTACGTCTATATAGGATGATATGTTTATATCAATGCATAATACGATGCATCAGGTTCATGTGTGATGCAAATACATTACAAAAACTCAAGAGTGGAAGCAACTTATCCACATTCCGATAACTACCTACTCCAAATCTTGCAAAAGAGCAACGCTTTCAATATGTAAATAATAATAGTACACCTAATCTCATGTACCCAACCAACAAGACATACCATAGCCATAACCTCAAATCAGAGCTAAAACATCACAGTCCATTAGGCCTTCAAGAAGAAATTTTGTTCCTAAATCTCACTAAGCTTCAGTCTGTATAATCAACTTAAGGGAGTACACCGATAGTATGTTTTGGAATTGGGAATATGTTTAGCAGTTTCCTTCCATATGCAACTGAATTTGGGTTCAGTAATAAGATATGGTAATTTATGCATGTAGAAACCTAAAAAAAAAAAAAGCAATGCAATTACCTAGATCTTCTGTTGAAGTTGATATATCCTTCTTATTAGCAGGATTCCTGATAGCAGCAACAGGCTTTCCACTGAGGAAAGCATCTTTAAGCTTAGACTGGAGTACCTTCTTCTCTGCATTAAAAGAATAAGAAGAATATATAGCAAGCATAGGACTCTTATAGGGAAAAATTATAAAAACTTACATATAATTAAATACGATAATAACAAACACCCCTTAGATTGGCATACTTACCTTCTTGAAGAGCTTCAATAGTTGACAGGAAATCCTGACGCTCTTTCTCTGAGCTAGACATTTTCTTTCTGCAAGATTCAGAGTAAATGTTGCATCCTTGCGTATGAGAACTGAACATGAAAATATTATGGCAAATGGATTAAGCTTGAGGTACTCCTTTACCCCTTCCGCTTTTTGGCGGTCTACCTCTCTGGTTTTCTGACAATTATGAAGGAGGTTTTTAACGAGACC